TGTCCTAATCCCTCTCACGTCCATTCCAAAGAACTGTCTCCCAGATTTGTGCGCCACGCTTTGCTTCCTCCGTCGGGTATATATATCCGCGTGGGCGTGCATTTGGTGACCAGCTGAGGCCAGAGAAGGTCGGAGAGTGGTGTGGTCATTGGAATGAGGATGTACTTGGTCGTACTTGTAGACTCTATGAGACGAAGATAGGAGTCAAACTCATTGGGAGCGAAATAACGACGTGGATGAGTGATTTGGATTTTTACCTCGTGGGCCAACTTATTTGATATTGCGAAATTTGACTGAACTTGGCTCTGGGAGAATATTTCACTCCCAGGTTCGTAAAGGACAACGCGTACAGGTGTTCAGTCTTGCCCTCCTACACTTGTACTTGTAGCGCACCTCTCCCACACTTTTAGCCTTAATCCGAACATGACTCTCTTTGAGTCAACTTCTACTTTCGTTCCATGAATATTGCGCCCATTACATTGCGCGATATTTCCAACAAGAATTGTCTTGCCCGTATACACAACCAGGATCCAGTACTCTGGCACATCTTCGAGACCTCATGAATCGCAGACGGCAGAGATTGCTAAACGACTGGTGGGAAGAGGCCTGTCTGCCTAAATACCGCCAACTCAATCTACAGGTGCGAAGACGCAGACCACCCGAACTGTCTCTCTAGGCACCTCCTCCGGACACTAATCGCAGCACGAACGGGTCACGGCAATTTTGCGGCATACCATCGCCGTTTTAATAATCCACACGCTCCTATGGAGTGATCTTGCGGGAAGGAAACTACTCCAACCTACTTCATCCACTGTAGCCGTCACGCACAACAAACGCGTAGGCTCAGAAAGTCAATGTCCCACATTGACTTTATCAACAAGCTTCTCGGGCCCAAATGCTACGATAGCTTCAAAATATTTGCGGAGGAAATCGGTTGTTTTGATAGCCAACCCGCCCACTCATCCACTGCTCTCAGCGGGGATCAGACAAACTAGTCATTGCCACAACGCATGACACAAAAGGGATCGATGCGAGAAGTGTCGTTTCTCTGAGAAAATTTTTAATGTACTTGGATTTAGGGTTGAAGGATGGAGTCTCGATTTCGGAGTCGGAGTAGGTGGTGTGACAGAAACCGAGTTGGTGATGAATAAATCGATTTCATAAACTGTATGAGGAGAAAAGCTAACTCTATCTACTTCTAACAGGTATTTATAGGAGTTAATCCTCCTCGTGAATCTACAGACTAGTGACTTGTCCTTAGGCACAATACTTCTTACCCAGCCACGTATTTCCATGTGTTACTAAGTTGTAATGACGCTTCAGCCTCCTGAGTAGTAGTGCCGTTTCGTTTAGCTTCATCTCCACCCCCATACAGCCTCATCGTAAGGATTCTTAGTATCAGGCTTAGGTATCCACCTAAGCTCAAACAACGGTCAAACCGTAACAGGTGGTGTCTTCTGAGTTATAATTTACCTTCTACATTTTCTGTAGCGGGTCTCGCGGTTGGAATGAGTTGGGCCTGTAAGCAGTGATCCCCGCCGGCTCCACCAGTCTTGTACCTAAGGTTGAACTAGAGCTTTAGCTCAGGACTTTAATATAATAAAAAAAACAATATCATAGAAGTGTATAATAGATGACTCAACTTACAAGAAGAGCACTCATGCCTCAAATTTCATTTTCAAATACCACTGCAAAGTTATGGTGGCTTTTTCTTCACCCCAAGTCAACCCTCATCCGTGAATACCCACCCAGGGGAACGTCTCAAAAACCCTGAGTTATCCAGACGTGCCTCCATCATATATCAACTTTTCTCCGCGCGAAATGTAGTCTTAGGTGTCTCCTTCCCAAGTGGAGTAGGTGCCTAGGCTACTCAAACTATACCAGAGAACACCACCTGGAGGCGTACCACAACACCTTCCATCGTTGACTTTTTTTTTTTGCATCAGATTTTAATTTCGTATGCAGCTTTCTAGCTATGACACAATATCAACCATCGTTGTCTTGTTTCCATAGTGTCACTGCACTCTCGCAAGCGAAGTCTTGGCGCGCACAAAGCTCAATTCGTAAAACTCCTTTCCAGAATTGGGAATTTTCCGCCCTTCGAGTTTATATCCTTGCTTCGCATCATCATGTTAACTTATCCTGAATCCTCTCACGCCAATTCCAAAGAACTGTCTCCCAGATTTGTGCGCCTCGGTTTGTTTCCTCCGTCTGGTATGAATACCGGCGTGGGCGTGTATTTAGTGGTCAACTGAAGCCATAGAAGGTCGACGAGAGGTGTGGTTATTGAGAGGACGATGTACTAGGTCGTACTTGTAGACATGATAAGGCATAGGTAGGATTCGATCTCTTTTGAAGTGAAAAATTGATGTGGTGGAGTATTTGAATCATTGCCTCGTGGGCCAACTTGTTCGGTATTGCGAAATTTGACTGAACTTGGCTCTGGGAGAATATTTCACTCCCAGGTTCGTAGAGGACACCGCGCACAGGTGTTCAGCCTTGCCCTCCACCTCAGACTTCACCCATGTGTTGAATCATGTCAAGCCCAACCGTCCAGAGAACCCTCTTTTAGCGCGCCGAAGCCCAAATTTCTCCTCAGCCTCGGCCGCCCGAGCCCTTGACATCTTCATTGACACCAAACTATAAATGCCGTCCAAGATCTCATCGTTGCTCTAGCCTTGCACATCCATATCGTACCGTTGGGTTGTTTTCGTCATTGGGGATTTGTGTACTCCCCTCGGTGTATCTTCCCTCTTTTTCCTCCTTTGTACACGTCCCGTTTCCATCATGACTTTCCTCATTAGGGCGTGTGTAGGTAGGCGATCGGACGAGTATAGAAGTGGGTCGCAGGTATAGAATCGACTGAGAAATGCTTCGTCGCAAATATAAAAGGAGTTTGTGAGATGTCGGATGTTTGAATACGGCCCCAGACAGACCTAAATCCTTTCGTGAATCGTATGTTGGTGGTGATGAGTTTTTGTTCAACTTTGTTGCGGCTGTGAAATCTCTGCCGACTGATTTTTCGACCAAAATATCGAGTGCAACTCCTTTAAGTCGAAAATCCACAAAAAAAATCATCCCACCCTTTTTCGTTTCTTAATCTCGGCTCTGGGAGAATATTCCACTCCCGGGTTTGTAGAGGACACTACTGACAGGTGTTCAGCCTTCGTCCTCCCTTGAAACTTAGCGATTCGCCCGGACTCAGAGTTAGGGGTCCTCATGACCATAAGAGAGTGCGGTGTTTGTGTCTTACCTGCTTCTACCCAGCTGTCTCATGTCAATAATTGCGTAAGTGCTTGAACTACTCAAAATATTGTTGGGAGGACGGCCTGAACGGTGTACTACTGCACCATCCAATCCTCGTCTAAAAGATGTTGGATTGGTCCGCTCAAACTAGATATCAGTCCAAACAACAGCCTGTATCAATCGTTCTACCTGCACAGACAAGTACACAATTGAGACAAACTTCAGGGGGCGTGGATAATTTGTCAGTCACTGAGTTGAGTTACCAATTCCTTGCTCGTCCTACGACCATGATTGCTGACAATAGGTGCCCCGACGCCAAGAACCCAGCATCAATTGTAACGGCATCAAAGTCCTTCTTTTCGGCCTCACAGGTCTCGAGAAGATGAAACGGGTATCAATCCACATTATCTGGCTCCAAGATTACTAGTTTAGCCTCGACTAGAGATGCAGGGTGGATAGAAGAAACAAAGTGTGGGCGAATGCACCGCTAGCATGACTGTCAATCATTGGACTGATCTTTTGGGCTTGTAAAATCTGCGTCAGTACGGTAAGGATCGAATCTGACGCCTAGCCAGTCTTTGGGGCTTCGAATTGTGCAGCCTGTATCCAACAGCTTCGTATCACTGATTATTGACATCGATTTCACTAGACTTAATTCCCTGTCTATACGAAGAGAAGCTGGAAAACTATATTGTCAAACAACTGCTGGAGATGGTATTATTCAACTTCTATCACTGCACGTGGCTTTAAAGCGCGCGTACTTTTATCCCTATGAAGGGCAAAGGGCACCTGAGCAGGAGCTCTAGACACCATAGGACTAAGAAAAGTCTAGAATACATAACCAGGCTGCATTAACTGAAACTGCGTACAGAAAATCATTGATAAAATCGAAGCAAAGATAAAAAGATGAGACCCTCACTACCTCAAGACTGGCGATCAAGCAGTCCCTCTCCTCCTTTCAAACAACTGATAGTTTGGAACATACTGAGTCTAGTAATAAGAACCATTGGGTATTTGGCTGACACATCCTCTTGGATTAACTGTCACGGGCTTTGATATCTCACCCAGGACATGGTGTTCAGAATGATCAGCATGATTAGCATGATCAAAACTCCAATTTCAAATCATTTGATCTCCAACACATATAATGTACTTCATCACGTTATGTAGGGAAACGAGAAGATATTCTCTTCCAGCTATAGTTTTAAATGGGTAAATAACACGAAAGCCAGGGAGACGTAGAGGAGCAGAGACTACATCAATAAACTTTTACTTTAAATTCTTCATCTAACTATCAGTGATCAACATTTTTTCTCTCAGCTTCTTCAAATGAATAACCATTATGTGGACTTATTCTGGATATTTACATCAATTCTTCCTGTAATACAGTCTCAAGTCATGTTTGAGTTATTTCAACATGTCCGCAAACATTGTCATGAAGTGCTTGTCCGGAATAAAATGTCGGGACAAGGATTTCGTATAGGGAATTTGACGACTAGAGCAAATTATCAAACAGTATCTGGTCATTCCTCTATCAGTGCACCCTTAGACTTAAGTATGGATAACACCCGCCATTGAGCCGATCATCATCAATTTCTCAACTCAAGTCTACTATTTTGCTGAAGTTTAACGCTAAATCATCTGGTTTGGACAACGATTTCGAACTAGCTGACAGGTCATTAAATACAAATTTGGCAAGGAAACGTTAGATACTCCATCTACTAAGAACGTTTATCGATTGTGTGAAAATCAAAATGAAATTTCTCTCCCTTAGCATTATCACCGTGGCTATGGACCTGCTTTGTGCAACGCATTCTTTTGAGGTCGTTACGGTTGCTAATAGGAGAATGCGTGCGCAAAACACTCGTGCCACTAATACGGAGACTGCACTGACTCATGAATTTGCCTGCATGAATAAGGTAATTCAAGGAACAGTAGCTATAAACGCGATAAATCAACTGCAAGCCCCTGTTAGTGAAAGGAGAGATAATGGTAGAAGGAAAAAAGTATTCATCATTGATGAGTTTACTCAAGATATAGGTATTATGACATTCTATCCACAACTTAGTTCATCATCCTCATATTTGAATTCGAATAGTCAGTATAAAATACTTTGCCCAAACATCAATGAACAACAGATACGAGAAAGTCATTTCTGTCATGAATAATCTGATGGCTATGCCGTGTGAAATGTTAGCGCGTGGAACGGCAAATACTATAAATGACAAGAATATGGAACATCGAAGACATCTTGAAATGATCACAGTTCAAACTGTTGCACAGCATTTAGCCGATCAGGAGGACTAGTATTGGCTTATTTACCCACCGATAAATTTCTGATTGCACCTACGTATCTCTCAAGAGTGATTTCAGATTCGGGATGTTCTTTAATGGCATCATAGATGTGAACGGGGATGAGAGAGCGTGAGGGATGCAACGATGGGGCATGGTAGTAGCTCTAAGCCAAGAAAGCAGGCAACATGGCACGTTACGAATCTCGAACGCGAAATTTCGTATCATTCGTCCTTCGCGCGAGTGTATATATTTTTATTGACGAAAATCATTTGTTATTTATTTGACACCGTGTCAGCTTACAATAAACCTCATGAAGAGTAGAATTGTTCTCAAATATTTATGTATATATATGCATATATATATTGTGAGCGGATGATTTGAATTTGAAACCTTCTACGTGACAGAAAGAAGATAACATCTATGTAGACGTGACACGGGTAGATGGGCTCTGAGAGTTGATTGCTACCTACATGACCGGCAGTAAAGCCAGAAGCGACAGAGAAAAATAAATGGTACAGTCAATGTCTGAGCTACGGTGCCCTGCGCCGCATCCCTATCTTCCAAACCCATCTCCTCTCCATTTGGAAACAATCTCAGCATGGCCACCTCCCACCCTGTTCATTATTCGTCAGACTGTAACATCTGCTAGTAGTTAAGAATTGGATGAACTTCTGCCATCCCTGTTCTATCATTTTCCTAGTCCCAGGTGGGGCCATCTTTGGACTGACACTTTATTTTTATTCATTTTATTGCCCTGTCTGAGTCTATCACTATGTAGGACATGCAGATCCTCTCTGCCTAGAGGCCAAGGATATCTATGCCAGTAGTATATCCGTTCCTATGCCTCCTATGCAACTCCCCTTAAACAGTACCACCCCTCACAGGTCCTTATTCGATCATACACTTAGAGGAGCCCTTAACCCTTCATTATCTCCCCTCTCCAGCCAGCGAAACGATGACCTTTTGCGGGTGTATGGCGGCTGGGAAAAATCGTAATAACCACTGGGTGCGGTTGGACTGATGTTTGATATTAAAATCTTTTAAGTGATAGGAAGAATTTGGACTGGCAATGATAAGAAGTGGCCAACTTTACATATACCTGTGTTTATTTTCGCCTTCGATTCTTCTCGGCTATCCTAGATATGCATAGATGGCACTGCTGGAAAATGAAGAATTTTTCTTGCCGAAATGAAGTGTGTTTAGAAGGGCAAGACTAAACACCTGTACGCGGTGTCCTCTGTGAACCTGGGAGTGAAATATTCTCCCAGAGCCAAGTTCAGTCAAATTTCGCAATACCGAACAAGTTGGCCCACGAGGCAATGATTCAAATACTCCACCACATCAATTTTTCACTTCAAAAGAGATCGAATCCTACCTATGCCTTATCATGTCTTCAAGTACGACCAAGTACATCCTCATCTCAATAACCACACCTCTCGTCGACCTTCTATGGCTTCAGTTGACCACCACATCCACGCCCACGCCGATATTTACACCCGACGGAGGAAGCAAAGCGTGGAGCACAAATCTGAGAGATAGCTCATTGGGATGGACGTGAGAGAGAACAGGACAAGTTAACAAGATGATGCGAAGGATGGATACGGCGTGGAGCACAAATCTGGGAGATAGCTCTTTGAGATGGACGTGAGAGGGATCAGGACAAGTTGATAAGATGATGCAGAGGATGGATACAGTCTCGACGGGCGTGGAATTTTGAGTTCTGTCAAGGAGTCGTTACGAATTGAGCTTTCTGCGTGCCAAGTCTTCGGCTGCGAGAGTGCAGGCGACACTTTAAACACCGCTATGGTTGGATGGTGCGGTGGTACATCGTCTTGGCCGGTCTGCCAAGTAGAGTCTGGATAGCTTGGACACATATCCCACTTGAGACAGTAGATCGCTGGTTCAAATCCAGCAAAACACAACCACATTTCTCGCGGCGCTGTTATGCATGGATGACAAAGGCATGCTTGGATAACCAAAGGTTTTGAAACTTCCCTTTGGTGGGTACTAACGGAGGAGGGTCGACTGTTTGTGTAAGTGAACATACCTCATAGTGGTATTTGCAAATGAAATCCAGAGTATGAGTGTCTCTAACGTCAAAAGAGTCATCCCACATGTATACATAGCACCGGTCATGTATCATAGCTAGATAGCTGAATACACATTAAATGACTCAAAAAAAAATTCATTATCTTGCGCCTGGACTCCAACATGTACAACATTACATAAGCATTACAATTTATCAGAGCCTCGTACTAATTAGGGGTCTGTCAATCTTGGATCCTCAAAGATATGATACATGACCGGTACTTTGTATACATATTGGATGATTCTTTTGACGTTAGAGACACTCAAAATCTATATTTCATTCACAAATACCACTATGAGGTGTGCTTGCTTACACAAACAGTGGACCCCTCTCCGTTAGTACCCACCAAAGGGAAGTTTCAAAACCTTTGGTTATCCAAGCATGCCTTTGTCATCCATGCATACCAGCGCCGCGAGAAATGTGGTTGTGTTTTGCTGGATTTGAACCAGCGATCTACTGTCTCAAGTGGGATATGTGTCCAAGCTATCCAGACTCTACTTGGCAGACCGGCCAAGACGATGTACCACCGCACCATCCAACCATAGCGGTGTTTAAAGTGTCGCCTGCACTCTCGCAGCCGAAGACTTGGCACGCAGAAAGCTCAATTCGTAACGACTCCTTGACAGAACTCAAAATTCCACGCCCGTCGAGACTGTATCCATCCTCTGCATCATCTTATCAACTTGTCCTGATCCCTCTCACATCCATCCCAAGGAATTGTCTTCCAGATTTGTGCGCCACGCTTTGCTTCCTCCCTCGGGTGTAAATATCGGCGTGGGTGTGTATCTGGCGACCAGCTAAGGCCAGAGAAAGTCGAAAAGAGGTGTGGTAATAGGAATGAGGATGTACTAGGTCGTACTTGTAGACATGATGAGGCATAGGTAGGATTCGATCTCTTTTGAAGTGAAAAATTGATGTGGTGGAGTACTTGAATTATTACCTCGTGGGCCAACTTGCTCGGTATTACGAATTTAGACTGATTAGATCAGATTAAATTTGTTTTATAGTCCCCACTGAGGCACTAACTAAAGAGGACAATGTACTTTGGGAGGTGAAACAAGTGCTCTATGGGACAGCTTCCTGTCGCCTAGCTGCGACTGTGGTTCGAACACAGGACCTGAGGATATCATCATGACTGCAATCCTCCGCTCTAACACTGAGCTACCGCAGCTTTAGCTTGCTTGTATTTAGACTGAAATTGGCTCTAAGAGAATATTTCACTCCCAGGTCCGTAGAGAACACCGCGTACGGGTGTACAGCGCTGCCCTCCGCCCAATGAGAATGCTTCGTTGGGAATAAACGAGCGCTGAGATCTTTACAAGCTACGACTGACACAGTCTCTAGCTCTCTCACCGTAACACCTGATAAGTGTCCTTTGAACATGTTGGATGACTTGTTTAACTAGGGAGACGCTCACACTACATTTTTCGTTCGCAGATACCGCTTCAGACTATGCTAGCCTACCTTCAGGTTGCCGGAGCTCAGTGGGTCCGAACCTGGACATCAACGCTCCAGCCTGTTGCAACCATCGAGAGGTGCTAGGTTGTATCCCACGCTTAAGTGCACGGCTCGGGTCTAACACTCTAGTCTTAAGCGAATTAAGCAGGGTGCTTAATGGGTGGAACGCGACGCGATCTGGTGCGACACTTCACGTCCGAAACATCCCTCATGGGAATGTACAACAATTCTTGCTAACTAGCTCACCATATCTTGCATCACAATTTGCAAATAAAGACTATATTTTGCTCTAGAAAAGTGTTACACCGAACGGCACGGCCGCGTCCGAGCTTTGCTCAGGACTATGCAAAGGGTCGTTATTGATCTTTGCTCTAGCCCATTGCCAGAGCTTCAAGTATCAGCACACCCTAGTCGACTCGGGTCTACAGCTCAGTTGGCTGAGTCTAATATAGATGAACCGCAATTAAATGGTACGAAGCGGCGTCAGCACCATGCTCCTGATAAAGTCTATATCCTCAGCAGCCCCACTGGCGACTTAGATACTGCGAAACAGACGCCCAAGAATGTCGCTGGAGACAATGGAACCTTACGCAAGGCTAATCTAGACTGGTTGACCCTCTCGCCGAACTCGCACACCTCGCCTTGCTGCACGCCTTCTTCCGCACCCTTCAGTGACAAGAAAGATCCATTTTCCACGGCTTCCAATAAGAAGCGGCCGGGTGCTCTACTTCATCTATCCAGCCCAAAGAGACAAGAAGCTCGGAAGGCTCGCCGGGAGCCACTAACCCCAATTAAGGCTGCATGCAAATCGACGGACCCTTGTCCCGAGATTATCGGAACTAACCACAGTACCATAATTCTCTCACCTAGCCCACCAACTTCACGAGAAATATCAGGAGCCGAGAACCTAGTAGGCAGAAAGATTACAGTGAAACCAAGTGGATACGATAAAGATAAAGTCTGGCATGATGACTTTGGCTGTGAACTTAGCGATCAGGAGGGCAAAGTAAAATCACCTCCCGTTGTGGTCTTATCGGTAAAGCCGCGACGAAAAGCGTCCCACCCAATCACGGCATTACATGACATCTCTAATACCTGTAGTGCATCAACTCAAAATAAACCAGATCCCCGGGAGTCAAAAAAAAATATCAAGACCGTCTCAAGAAAAGCTGGGATAGCTAAGACGGAAAGAGAAATCTTCCGTCAAAGGGAACGCGCACAAAAAGAGGAAGCTAGAGAAGCTGGGCGGCAGAAGCGATTAAAAGAAAAGGAAGAGAGAATGATAGAGAAGGAGCGCATCGCCGCAATTTCACGAGTAAATAAACTCAAAGATCGCCTTGAAACTACAACAGAAATGATTGTCGAGCTCCCTAATACCATGTCTATTCCCCTTGCCAAACAGGTTTGTTCATTTCTTGATGGCGTTCAAGCCGAGCATACAATGAGCTCTAGTGATTTGAACATCATCAGGTGGCGGCGTAAAGTGAAGGCGCGATGGGACCCTTCCGCTAGTCAGTGGCTGCCTATTCCTGAGTGTGTGCAGGAAGAAAACCATATCATGTATCACATCACGGCCAAGGAAATGGTGGATCTAATTACTGGTAGCGAAGGTCATGATTTTTATGCCCATATGCTACAGCTCAAAGCTCGATTCGCCGACCGCGCTATTATAATTCTTATTGAAGGCCTTAAAACATGGCGCAACCAGAATCGCGCCGTGAAAAATAAGAAATTTGTTTCTGCTGTTAGAAATCACCTCGTCGACCCGGAGCAATTGCAGCTGCCATCGAAGCCATCAATGTCACACCGACCGAAGAAAGCACAAGTAGAATATGTCGCAGAAAGTTTAGTTGATGAAGCGCTTCTTGAACTTCAGGTTGTGCATGCCGTACTCGTGCACCATACTGACAGCCTTCTCGAGACAGCTGAATGGGTTATGACGTTTACCCAACATATTTCCACTATTCCTTATAAGTATGTAGACTTTTCGTACTTCTTACCTCCTCTCGTTTAAATCTGTATACTTCTTCGCTAATGTATCTGAGCACAGAATACATACTATCAGCGCCAATAACACCAATTTTTGCATCGACCGGGGGCAGATCAATTGCGGCAAGGACACAAAAGATACATATATTCAAATGCTCCAGCAGATGCGCATGGTGACCCAGCCGGTAGCAATGGGTATTGAAGCTATGTATCCAAGCGTGCAAAAATTATTCCGAGGTCTTGAGGAAAGTGGGCCGCTTGCACTGGAACAGTGTCGCAAGAGCGCACACAGAAATGGATCATTAACAGATGTGGCAATTGGACAGGCTGTAAGCCGTCGTATACACCGTGTCTTTTTAGGAAAGGATCCAGCGAGTTGGGAGATCTAGACACACCAGTCTAGGTTAAGTGTCAGTCCTAAATATTTTACCATAACCTGGATCTCCCAAATGTAACGCACCACAAGTCAAGAGTAGAAACCTTGAATAAGATACCTCCAACTTAAATTCCATTATTTTCAAGCCTATCTTTTTGACAGTAGTAACCCCTTTGACTGTCATGTGTGAAAGATTATAGTTGGCTATAATTCATACAGGATTGTTAAATTTTCCGTTTTTGGTCAGATTTCTTAATGCCATCTCTTCTTACTCTGCTTGCACGTGCAAAATTATTTTCATTTATTCCCTTACTTTTCTCATTACCACATCCTTTATTGTTGACGGATAGATATCAGATGTGAATACCAGATCCACCGGCAATATGTGACGCATCTAGTGAAAACTAGCAAGAATGAAACCAGACATCTCTTTTACGTGTATTATATTAAGACATTAATGAATATAATCACTGGTATATGACCTAAGAATATGCCTGTATCAATTAATTAGTAACTAATATACCCATCCTCGACATCATAAGCAAGGTCTGTGGAAAATTTATGATTTATAGAGCCTTGAATAAACTTGGAGTGCTTGGGTTCGATATCGATCCGTGGCTCTCGTTGAATCGCTGAAAAGTATCGTTTCAAACTTTTCAAGCCTCTCAAAAATCCCATGTCAGGCATGTTTGGGTGTTGTGGCGGACATGTCCGTTCACTAGCTGCAAAGTTCTCCCTAGTCACACAATTGGCGAAATCTGCAATCTTGAAATCTATTTGCCGGAGAGTGATGCTTTCGTCTCTATTAGACATAGAGTTATCACTGGAATATTCGATATTGGCAGCTCCGTCATAGAACATTAGTAAGCTAGTTCCGTAAAATCTATATCCGAGAAGTCCTCTGATGAGGACCTCTAGCTCTGAAAGCTTCTGCAGAATTAATGGAATATGTCTCAATACACTTGAGTAGTCAGTTCCATCGTATAAAAATCGAGTGAGGGCTTTTTGGAACTCATCACCCGCTCTTAAGTTTCGGCCGTAGTATTTATCTTCGAATAGATAATCTTGTGCATTTTCATCCCAGACTTGAAGCCCACAAACTCTAACACCTAATTCCTTTGACGTTGTCGCGGCACATTTTTTTCTCTGTGATTTTTGTTTTTTAGGACTCGCATCTACCCCGTACTGTCGGGTTCCCATTTTTAAATCCATTATACAAGGACGCTTCATGCCTGCTGTTAAGTCTTCCAACAGTAAGAAATACTCGACACGGGAGCCAGGCTGCGCTCGAGCTTCTTTTGGATTGACTGGACGCGGTAGCTCAGGTAATCTAGATAAATGATCTTCTTTAGGGCAGGGATCAGTAATCGAACTACATTTCTGCAATGACTCTGTTACTTTCGTTAAAGAGTGTTGGTAATTGATATTGTTATCAAGAGACGAGTTACTGCCTAATATGTTTTCACGGCCAAGCTCAAGATCCATAGTAAACACTATATTTGGGTCACCTTTGAATCCTACATCATCCGCTTCCTCAAAGTACTTGAGTTGTCCCCGGTCTGCAGCTACTTGAGTCGGTCTACGACGGAGGCCTCCGCTGGAATACCTCCTTTGTCGTTTTCCACCCTTTTCAAAAGGTATTTCAGGCTCAGGTGCACTTCGACCAGTTTGGTCATTCAGATCAGTATCAGTGATATCGTGATCTAAGTTTTCTGAGATGGCCTTCTGTTTGTCATATGAAATATCTTTCGAGCTAGTTTTCTGTGAATCTATTTGAGGTTCTTTCACGCAAGGATTAGCTTTTTGTGAATCGTCTTGCTTGGCCTCCGAGAGGTTTGATTCTGAGTTAGAATTTCTGAGATTATTTTTACGAAATGGAATTGCTCGATAGGTGGCTGGTTTCTTATGACGAATTGGGACTGGTTTCTGAAGAAAAACTTCTCGAAAAACATCGTCACGAAGCATCTTATTCACATGGGTTTTCCCCCACGGGTTAGAGTCTGGGACTGAGTTAGTTGGACGAGAATTGGTTGCCTCAACACTTTGATCAGGTTCTATCGTACAGCTGAGCGAGTCTTGATTACCTGTTAAGCCAACCTTTAGTTCACTTATTTCTGGTTGAGGCTTAAGGATACTTGTCGGTATGATGTGCCTGTTATCTGCAAACGTGACAGTGGGTATTGGTTGCGGTTGGGAACATGCATTTGACTGATCAGCCGTGCGTCTATTTATAGTCTGACTACTTCTTGTAATTTGAACTTCACCCGAGCGGAGTTCCTCAACCTGTGGTGCTTCATCTACTATGCTTTCGCGGACGAGGTTCAGCTGCTCATTAGATGGGTCTAATGCGCTTTTGCAAATGGGCTTGCGACGATTCTGCTTTTCAAATGTGACATTTAGAACACCAATGTATCTAGATATAAGAAGGCAATATTATTAGCGTCAAGTCACAAATCATAAGGGCTAAGCTCAATATCATACAACTTGGTGCTAGGATTTTTATATCTGGAAAAAGATGACAAGTATACCTTGGAAGAAATTCAAGAAGTTGGGGATGATATTGCTCAATCTTTTCATAAAATTCATTTTCACGGTTGTTAAGTTGCTTGCAAACTGCTCGTTTGGAAAAGCGCCACAATGTTGTGTGACCCCCAACTTGATGGCTGTAAGGAATAAGCTCTATAGCATCAAGAGGTCGTTTCACAGTTGATTGTTCTGACCGAATTTGTACTGCACTATCGACAAATGGAGAGAAAATTCTTGAGGAATCGGTAGGAGTCATATCGTTTTCGTTGACAGAAATTTCATCCACGTGAAATGATGAATCATCCTGGCATGGTGTATTTATCTTTAAATAACTTGGAGCGTTGTCCCTAGACTGATTATGGGATTCTTGAATACAGTGATTTCGATGGCCTACACCGTAGCCTGATTGCGACTTAGTCCTCCCGAGGTGTTTAGGATGACATTCAGATTCTCGAAGAGGTAAGGCTGAGTGATTTTCAAGCCATTGGTTAGAATGTGGAGCGTCTGGATGATTAGCTTTTGACCTGAGGTTTGAGTCTGAAGTATCTCTAAGCCTTTCCGTAGTTTCTTGGGATGTTTGATGGGGTAGAAATAATGCAGATGATATTTGTTCTTCTCCTGAGTCTTCATCTTCATCCGAGTTTTGAGTCTGATCTGGTTTCACATATCGATTGTTATAAGTATCTGTCTGTTCACTGGTTACTCGTGAAAGAGTGTCAGGTTCAGGCCCCACTGTTATTTCGCGACCAGTACTTGGAAGGATACTAGAGAAGGAGGTGTCTCTTTGGGAGCTGAGGCATAAATTTTGAGATCCCCTTGAATTATTCAGCACATCATCTGTCGTAGAATCTTGTTCTTGCGGGCAAAATATATCGGCACTAGATAATTTATCAAAATTGGGGGCCTCTGCCCCTTCAGTATCTATCAAACCTAGCTCGACTAACCTTCTGGGGGTTGTATTCCCTGCATCGAGTGAGGGCTTAACTTGAAAAATTTTGTTACATGATATATCTGCCTCAACTTTTGACCCAGAATTATTAACCTGTCTATCTTGTGAAAGTATAACCTTGTAGTTACACGTTTGTTCTTTCTGAGACCCCTTATTTTTTATGCCTCTGGTACGGGAATCTTCAGGGCAGAGACCCTCCTTAAAGAATCGCATGTGATGACTCGCCTTACGACTTCGGGCACTTGGCTCTATACTAGTTAGAGCCTCTTTTATAGACTTTTCAATGAATCCATCGTTCTTTTGGCCACAATTATTTTCATCTATTGACCAAGGTTTTTCAGTTATCAAGCCAGCTATTGAACCTCTCCACGACCTATAGAGTGCTCGCACACCGTCTGTGGGCGGATTGTTTGAAATTATTTGCGTAGGAAACGGTGTAGTCGTGGCAGTTATACCAGTATCTCCAGGATTGGAAGAATAATCATCATTTGTCAAATTATGCATCATCTTCTCCTTCTTTGTCCTTTCAAGAGACATGCCTCGACATCTAACTCTCCCAATAAAGTTCCTATGGCTAACGAGTAAAGTTTCGACATTATTTTCGAGGGAAAGATAATCTGCTGACCTTGATACATCAGTTGTGAGCTCAAGTCTAGAGGATTTGGATTTTGGGTTCATCATAAATGCTATATGTGCCAAGTTTGCTGACGGAAGGTATGATTTGCCTTTCTCGTTGATAGTTCCAGTCGTCGCATTCAGTGATTTCCCTCCTAGAGACAAGTTCATTTCTGCCGGTGACTTGGAAGACTCATCAAAACTGGAAGAAATTTCTCCTTCGACACTCTCATCATTCTCGTATCTGGTAGCTAGGGACTGGGTTAGCAATGAAATGGGCTTAATCAATGAAGCGTCTGTTGGAAAAGGTTGATGCTTATTCAGATCTCTATGTCGTGGGCTTTGCAAGCCATGTGTAGGCCATAGAGGTCCAGTTGATGCGGCATTTTCGGACATCTATCGAGACCTGGTACTGAATTGAGCTCTAGGTGTTAGGTATCAATTGGTAAAGTATGTCTGCTCCTAAAGAAGGCTCAGGCTTTTGACTGTATGCGATGTAGTAGAGTAATATGACAATGCTTTTTAGCCGGTTAATTCAGTGAAGATAGATTAGATCAATGACAGAAAATTTCGAAATATAGGCTGTGTTACTGATGGGTATTGGTAGATGGGTCTTGGTGGTTGAGAATGCGCTTGTAGAATTGAATTAGTGGATGAATAGCCTTGGTTTGAGTCGCATCAGTAATCGGACATGCTAGGAATAGGCGCTAATCCACAGACCTACTCAGCCACGAACCAGAATACATGAGCTAACCTATACCTTGTTATCCCTGCCGTATTAGCGTATTCTTTTTGACATAAAGACGTTCAATCCCGCGATAAGATATATCACCAATCAGAATCCCCACTTCTTAGTTACAGTAGATAGACGAACTAAACCCCTGATAACACTGTCTAATCTGCGGCTTTGGATTGGACCAAAATCCTGTCCACTAAACGAACAGGTACGGTACGAAAGAACAGATTTTTCACACATTTCCGTTTCCATTTGCATTTATGTTACGAGTGGGTGAAAAATGCCATGTTGAAAGTTGCACCATACATTTTGATAAGCCAAGAAAAATAATGCAAGAAAGCGCAGTAGAAAGCGAGCAAAATAGCCTTGTTTGTTTTGAAGGCCTGTGAAGTTATCAAGATGCTAGTTCGGGTGCAGCCGAGGCGGGATCAGCTCAAGTAGACTAAATAATACCCACTTTCCTTATTCCAATGTTAGACTCCGGTATCTATCGACCAGCCACACAATCATACACGTGCAGAGTGGAATAACTCCATTGCAGCAAAACTTGAACGACTCGATTATACAAAAACTGTGAGGCGTCTTTTGTCTCAGTAGGGACTTAATAGGGTTACTCGCTTGACGCGTGATCCGCCAGACGTTAAATAAAGATAAATAAATATACAAAAACTGTAGCGCCAGGCCAAATTTGCCCAGATTGAGTTAGATTCCTGACCTGTAGCATAATCAATAATACGCTCTAATTGTCAATTAAATTCAAATTTTAATGTTAGCCTCTAGACCTTCAGGCTTATATCGTGTTTACAACAGTATATGTCTAAGGCAAAGTAGTCAATACGTCCTCATAATGTAGCTCTTGTAGAGTAAATGACCCAAGATCGCTCAAAATAAAACAACCAATTTATTAGGCTGGATGTCCACAGTGTGTTGGAAAATAGAACAAATTGATTAATATATACATACATATATACTGGGAATGCCCCCCACTGTCTATGAGAATACAAGTTGAATTGATTGTTAAAAATACTCCAATTTAGCTAGACTCTATCACATAGATTCCAGAAGTCCTCTATAGTCTTGGACTCAGATGGGACTCTAAAATAAATCTTATCTAATCTAACCCACAGCGTATTGCCAACGAAATTTCAATCTTGCAAGCCATGCCAATGAATGTTGGCTATGGAGACCTAACGACCATTTACAAAATTATATGACAAAGGATGAGCAACTACTCACTGAAAGTTATCAAGACTCATCTGTAGACAGTAGAGTATTTTTGAAAATCAACATTTACTCAAAAATAAAGTTTCAAAGTAAATGCGAAGAAATTATGCTTGATTACCCTGCATGTGGAATTAGAAGGACATCGCATCAAATCTACCACATCATCTCGTCACTGCATGACATTATGCTGACAAAAATAAGGCTGGATGGACCAAATTTTTCTGGAAAACATTTAATTTAGGTAAACTGTTACAAGAAGGATAATTGGGCGCTGTTCACTGGGTCATAGCAGTGAGTGAAATAAATATCTATCCTCAGTGTCCGCTGCGTACCTTGGAGAGTATTTCTCTCCGAGATTCAAGTTCAGTCAGATTTCGTAATACCGAAGAAATCAGCCCGTGAGAGAATGATTCCAAACTCTCTATCACATCAATTTTTCTCCAATAACGAAATCTATTTTCACCAAAGCCTCATCTGATATGGAAGTGCCATGTAGGACGTCCTCGTTTTGATGACTACATGTCTCTTCAATTTGGTGTTCTCTGGTATAGTTTGAGTAGCCTGGGCACCTATTCCACTTGGGAAAGAGACACCTCAGATCACATATCGCGCGGAGAAAAGTTGAAAGATGATGGAGACATGTCTGGATAACTCAGGGTTTTTGAGATGTTGCCCTGGGTGGGTATTGACGGATGAGGGTTGACTTGGTGAACAAAAAGCCGCCATAACTTCGCAGTGGTATTTGCAAATGAAATCTGAGGCATGAGTGCTCTTCCCTTACGTTGAATCATCTGTTCTGTACTTTTCTTTGATATTGTGTCATAGCTAGATAGCTGCATACGCAATTAAAATCTGATGAAAAAAAATGTCTCTTCAATATAGTCTGAGCCCTGAGCTGGGCTCTAATTATATGAACACGTCGATTCTATCGATCGAAGTACGAGACAAAGCCTGGCGCACGAATCTGTGAGACAGGTCTTCGAAACGGACAAGATAGATGTCAGGATAGATGGCCAAGGTCAAATTAAGAATGGAAACAATCTTCGAAGCGATGGAGTTATGGTAATGGAGAGTTTTTCATAATGAAAGTTGTCGCGGGTCATGTATATAAAGCAATGAGCGTTTGTGTATAAAATGGTAGATCATAATTCAGCTAGAGGTGAGCTTCTATAGAATAAGTCAGGTATTTAGACATTCCTTTTCATACTGTCTTTGGCCCTCATTACCAAGAACAATCACGACTTATTAATCTAAATCCCTCTAGTAATTTCTCGTATTGTCCTTGGAAGGTTTGAATTACTCCCCGGAAGGTTCTAGGTAACTTCTATAAGGTTTATTCTTCGCCAAAAGTATTCCATTCCTCCAAAATAATTCCCAATCATATTTCTTAAATCATTTGTAGTGAATCCAGCCTACACTAGCTATGCCATACCTGACTACCCATGAACGAGTAATATGAGAATTTACAACTTTCCCCCACAAAGGTGTTCTCCAGATCTCTTTTTCCACACATTTGACGCATAGCATCTCCTACTCTCGTCCTCCACCTCGCAAGCTGAGTCAGGCGTTTGGACTCTGGCTCTCGTGGGGGCAGCCGTCCTTTCTCCCGCAATTCTGTACTGCTACCGCGTCTATCTACGTGTTGGTCAAGAAACTTCTACTCTCAAACACCCTTCTGTTCTACTCTTACTGTCAATATAATTCCATCCAAGCTCATCGAGTCGTTCTGTCCAGTCTTGCTTTTCCCTCTCTTCCGAGAATCTTTTACCAATCTCTGTTTCCTCCAGAAACCTTAGCAATCCGGCTGTTGTCTTTCTATCTTCAAAGATTAGAGCTAAATTCCTTTTATTACTAGTTAAAAATTTCTCTTCTCTCATCTTGTTTCTCTCGTTCCTCCATCTTCAGAAGTCTAGCACTAGATCTCTGACTGTTTGTCGCTCACTCCGGCCGCACCAGTCGTACATATCGTCCTATCATTTCTTTACACGATAGAGGTACGCAGCTATAATGGCATGATTTGACTTCAATTGAAAATACCGGCAAGCTAGAGCTTTACGGGGCTTAAACACAGTTACATCAATTGAAACCTTTTCAAGATCTATTTCATAAGTGTTCCTGGATGCTTTATTTCTTCGGCGATGTTCTGCTATGATCCGTTGGTGGCATTCTGTCCTCGTTTTTTTGGTCAGAGTCCTAGCAATGTATGCTAGGGACGTGAATTCCTCAACACATTGCCGTACGTTCCTTATTAAATATTTGGCAGCTTGGTCTGCTTTTTTGTTACATTCAATTCCCATATTCCTAGGAATCCAGTGCATCTGAACAGCGACATTTGTACTTGCAGATCGCGTGTTCGGTCATGGTTTTGCCGCACGATCAACTGCCTGGCTCCAGGTCTGAGGTGTCTGATAAGAGAAATAGCGGCTTTAGAATCAAGCCAGACATGCACTGTGTGTCAGGGGTCAGAAGACAGGAGACTTACGAGGAGAAGGACTTGGGCGGAGACTGGGATGAAGGCGAGATTCTAGGATGTCGATAAAATACAAGACAAAACGCATCAGAACCAACACGGCACTAGAACTTCCTTAAGTACCTGAGACTAGTCACTACTGTTGAGATCTAGACATGCCAGACCGAACTGCACGCAGTGCGGAGTAGACGAAGACTACTCATCTTCGATCGCTACCAGCTTTGGTGAGGTCTCGGTTGGTAATGATCTCGGTGGTGTGAATGTTATTCCATCACGTAATCAGAACACAATGTTTCTACCTAAGCGAGGTAGAACATAGATAGAAAATTAGATGTAGATTAAACATAAACACTTTTAACTACTGAAATATAAGTTCAGTAAAACTAAAACCTCACTGATCCTAACCTTTTATCTCTGATCCTTAAATCCCCAATATCTTACGATTCGTACAATATTGACTTGACGGTCAACGTTCACTTCTATCATTCCAGATACCCCTTAGAACTTTAAGAGGTTCTGAGCCCGGTGCCCTGAACGGATAATACTCGGCAATTAATGAGAATTAGATTTTTTTTAACTTACACATCCTATCCTCTTTTAGTTCGACTCAGATTTCCATCCTACCACAATGGTCTCAATGACTGATAAAAAGTTTTCTTCAGATTTCTTTACATTCTTGGTTCCAGATGATAAGCCACTGGGTATCAAGAAATTTGGAAACATTAGACCATTAACTGGTCAAGAAAATTACAACATTTGGTCATCAACAATGTGCCATTTCTGGCGAGGTATGAATCTCTTCGAACTTGTTGTGGAAGGAGTGATGCCAGCAAAGGATGCCGAAGAAAAAGAGAGGACAGCTTTTCAGACTCTTTCCCACCAAGCAATTGCAATCCTCTTGACGGTAGTATCATCCGAAATTTTGGAGAAAATAGTCGAACTTGATGACCCGCACTCAATGTGGAT